ATCAAAGACGGTATGGAACTGAAAGCGACAGTGTTGCCATATTAAAATGTGTAATATCGGTAATACCCTGACGAAAATATCTTTGAATGAAAAATCCGCGTTTATATATTGTAAATTTATTCGTGTTAGACATAACAACAAAAATTAAAATTCTTTTATAGGTACTGAATATTTCGTATGATCGAAAAAAGTCATTTAGTTGGCTTGAAAATGACAATTATTGACATTTACCATAATATTTTATACCGGGTGTTGCATCATCGAGCGGGACATAGGAAATCCCATGTAAATTTTAATGGGGTCAATTATTGGCTTCCCTAATTATTTTAGAGAATAATTCTATTTAGGTTTATTGAAGAGCACTAAAACCCACATTCAAAAGAATAACTTTAGATATTTTTGATTAGCCCGTTTACGAGTTATCGCCGATTTCTTTTTAAATATTTCTCCTTTCTTATGGCCCTGTATTTACTTATGAGCACCAGTCAAGGTAAAAGATAACTGTCAAATGAAGTTGTCATTTAATAGTACCTAAATTAATAAGTTATTGAATATTGTAATAATGGTCGCGTTCATCAGGGTAAGTTGATCAGTGAGCGATGTGCCATCGATTGGTTGTCCTGCTGAACGCGCTTTCTAGCATCCCTTAGACAAGGAACTCTCTTTCCTTGTCTAAGAAGCATCATAACAACTTAACCTAACTTTATGTGTTTGTATTTTGATTCAAAAATCCAAATCTGTAGATTTTATATTTTGATTTTTGCACTTGTACTCTTCATGTACTTTTGTACATTAATTTGCTTTCAATTTCAACGATGAATCCTATCCAAGCAGCAGTGCTAATTGCTCAAGAAGACACTCTAGATGTAGGACTAATAACAAGACGAGCGGTTGATCTTCTTCAGCTAGTAGATAACTTTTTTTATAACCAAATCGATTTTTGGCACAAATCGAGGGGATTTTAGTCAACTGAGAACAATAAACAAAACGGTTTGTTTTCGTTTTCCAAAACATTTTGTGACATTTGGTGTATGTCAGTGTATGTGACGTTTAATCCATCATGCATCGGTAGCGTAGCGTATTTTAAATCTGATGGAAAAAATGGCGACTGATCCCAGAGCGCTCACAACTAATCGGCGCGTTCAGCAGAAAATTAGTGATCGCTGCAGTAGCGCTACGTCCTGATGAACGCGACCAATACTATAATTAACCTTGTAATTGATTAGTTTATTTTACTTTCATTCATATTAATTTGTATTTATATAAATACATCTTTAAGATTTCCGATGTAGGAATGAGTTTTCAATAATAATAAAGCACTAAATAGGTAAATTTATGAAATGACAACTTCATTTGACAGTTATCTTTTACCTTGACTGGTGCTCATAAGTAAATATAGTGCCATAAGAATGGAGAAATATTTAAAAAGAAATCGGCGATAACTCGTAAACGAGCTAATCAAAAATATCTAAAGTTATTCTTTTGAATGTGGGTTTTAGTGCTCTTCAATAAACCTAAATATAATTATTCTCTAAAATAATTAGGGAAGCCAATAATTGACCACATCAAAATTCACATGGGATGTCTCGTCCGACGATGCAACACCCGGTATATTAAATAAGCCAATATTTAATATAATAATTAGCTATCTTCATTTACAAGCCAAATCTGAAGCATTCTTTGTTCAATCTTATGACATTATATTAAATTGTTTAATGGTAGAAAATCCGACGTAGTGTACCAAAATTCTACGCATTAATCAGTAATTCCGACAACACTGTCTTCGACAACCACCCACTCTGTCGACTGAAAGGGGACCTACGGTACAGTGTTCTTTATATGCTGCGCAGCAGGGCCATGTGAGTTAAATATTCAAAATGGTTCCAGCAAAAGTTTTCGATATACGACGACTGTTGGCGGTGATCGTCAAAATCATGTAAAAATGTTTGTACCGTGATTTTGCTTACCGACAATACGACGTGAGCTACGACCAGGACCAGGACCAATCAGAACGATCAGTCTTTCTTAGACATTTGCCATGGAAGTGTGTGTTAATTTCTGTTGTGATTTGTGATAAGTGTGGTTGTGTTTGCAGTTTGATTTTTCGGTTTTGATATTATGTCAAAATTAATTTGATCTGATATATGTTATGACTTGTTAATGTTTGTTTAACAATGTTATACCAAAGAGGTTATACTTAATATATCAATTTGCATAGCATAACTTTTTTATCAATAAACTTAGTAGATTTTCAGATTATTTAATTCCTTTTGTTTCCGTTTAAAATTTTATTTTTAAAACATTTTATGTGATTGTTTCACATAATATATTTTAAAAATAAAATTGCAAATAGCGAATAAAAATAATTAAAATAAAAAAGTGTATTTTACAATTCCCGCCTGTCCCCCCCGGCCCCGCACCCCTTTGGCTATCCTATAAATGTCCACTACGAGAGACGAGAGATGGCGACACGAAAATGGAACCAATTTATTACAAGGAACTTGGGGTTCTTTTTCGTTAGTATATTCTGTGCTGCGCAGTTAACGACTATCAGCTCGCAGTGGCGCAGTGCTAAACTAAATCTCGGAGAGCCTGACGGTAACGCCAGCTACATCTCGTATATATTTTGTGTCAATAAATAGCCCACAAAGTTGCGCATCTTCTTGTTTCATCAATCAACGATAAAATGATTAAAATGATGGCAGACTTTTTAGAAGATGTCCAGATAGTACTTATGATTAAATATAGTCTTATGTACTCTTTGGCCCTGTTTAAATGTATATAATTCTGTTGTCAATTTATATAAAAACGTTTGATATAGAAGGACTACTAGTGAAAATTTTCTAAAAAGTTACTCATAAATCCAATGCATTTTCGATACTTTAAAATAACATTTTGAAAACACGATAGCATTCCTGTGTAATATTTTGGAAAATAAAATGGAACCCCAACGAAATATGATTGTCATTTAAAATTTAACTTACAATCTATTCATAAGTATTTTATCATAATAATAAAAATTATTCTCGAGTTTGTTGTCATGTTTTATTTGTCTCAAACAATGAGCTACTTTCCATTGGGTCTATCTTTTTTGTCTTTCCAATAATCCTTAGACCAAAAAAGTTTTGTTGTCTTCTAGATATAATTTTCTTTCATAAGCGTATAATTTTTAATGTTAAATGTTCTTAACTATATTGAGACGATATTCATCATACGTACAAACTGTAGCCGTGTTACTGGTAGGTACAAATTTAGGTATTAGGTATTATTATACACATATTTTGAAAATACAGTTTGTCAAATATAGGATATGTGAATTTCTCGATGTGCAGTAATAGTAGTTGTACCTGGTCGTATTAGTCCAGGAGGCAGTGATTTTTATTTTGTACTTATTTTATCAGTGGGTGAATATATAAAAGTTTGTTCGGGCTTTGACATTAAATGACAATTTGTGAGTTTGGCTAACATTTTCGGATGGGTTTACTAGATAAAAAAATAGTTATTTTATACAAGACGATAAAATGGTATTTTATCGTCGACCGAAAAGATTAATAATAAGAATTAATTTCGGGAGACGATAGTGCAATTTTATCGTCGTGTATAAAACAATATTTTATTCCATAGCGAGTTACGTTTTAAAAAATATTCAGAAATTATTATTTCAAGGAATTTATTACGAGTAGAAAACATGTACTGGGTTGGCGTTGGTTTCTATGTAATTTGACAAATAAATAAAGCTGTATCTTTAGTTGTTAGTTTTGAGTCAATATTTTTTAATTCTCTTTCGTGGCGATTGCTGATTGAATTGGAGCCAGAAATGGCTCAAAAGTAAATAAGTAAATTACCAACAGATATTCAGGCTGAGGCGACAAACGCCATATTCAAACTACTTCCATTTAAATCCCGAATAACTTAAGCAAAGGAATACAAAAATTTTCAAAAATGGAAGCAATTAAAAAACGTGCGAGAAGAAATCAGAATCCGTAACCCTTATTTTCCCATGCTTGAAATGTAACGTATCATTTTTGATGCTATCATAAACTATGGTCAAAAGCAAGTCTTGTTTATTTACGAAATTGGCAAATGGGTCTGGCGGGATCTCGAAAATTGCAAAGTTACTTTTATCTTCACTGCCTCCTGGACTATCCAGGGTGTCTCAGATTTTAATCGGGAAAATTTAATAGACGATAGAACTTGCAAAAATAAAACAAAAAGTTCATATCAACTTGTAAGATTTAAAGCTTCCTTTTCGAGATACAGGGTGTTAAAGTTACTTAAAAAAGAAAAATAAATTAAGATATTTGAAAAACTATTTAATCGATTTTGATATAACTTGACCCGTTTATAATACTTACTACGGGACTTAATTTGATGTCATTAGATTTAAGTTTAATGGCCAGGGGCGGCGGTGGGGCATCATTGTTAAATAATTTTAAAGGAAAAAATAGGCACTCCACTGGTTTTTTAGAAGTTTAATATTATTTTTGGATTTAGTAACTAAAAATATTATTTTTTTGTCTCCTGATTTTTTTGTCTATCTTGCTTACTTCTTGCGAAAAAAATTAAATTCTAATTGGTAATTAATATTATAATTAGTATTCTAATGGTAACCTGTATCTCGAAAAGGAAGCTTTAAATCTTACAAGTTCATATGAACTTTTTGTTTTATTTTTGCAAGTTCTATTTTCTATTAAATTTTCCCGATTAAAATCTGAGACACCCTGTATATGCAACTTTATATTTATAAAATAATTGGTCATAACTCTATTTCAGAATATTTATTGTATGATGAATTCGTCTTTGGGCAGGTTTTACAATTTTTTTTCTTCATTTTGCCTTGATAGGAAAACTCGTATGGAGTAAACTCGTATAAATATAATTTTGAATAAGTTCCTATGTCGGTAACAACACATACAAAAAATATAGATATAAAGATAGAATAAATATATTATATTTAATATAGTTATACGTATAATATATAATACTAACGTTTCCTCCATTAAAATTTTAGATACATTCATATATAACTAACAATACGACAATAAGTAAGTACCTTATGCTAAATTACTTGTTTTTAGACCTAAATATGTTTTTTTGTTATATTTTATCTTGTATAATTTAGTTAATGTGTTATAATTTATTCGGGAATATAGGTTTGTCTTTTTTGAAATATTCGACCGCATAAGAATACGTTTTGAGTTGATATAATCAGTATAGAGTCACTATCGACACTGATATCGTCTATAAATATTAATTTTTGGACAGAGAAATAACACATTGTTAAATTAGTTAGAATTGGCTGCTCGAGGGGTGTTCATTTTCGATGTTGTGTATCAGTTTTAATTTAATATGAAGTTTCGATTGTAAATTAGTAACGTTGCTCTTTATTGCAATAATAGATGTTGATGATTTTTTACACTCAAATGTTCTTTATTGAGATTTGATGTAACCATTGTCACCAACGACACGGTGGTTGCCGTGTTTGGTTCGGAACTTTTATAAATCAGTATAGAATTTATAGAGGGTGTTTAAAAAAACATGTGCCATTTTTCGTGGGCAGATTCCTCTCGTAAAAAATATTATTTCTCATATCCACATAGGTCCGATTATGCTATGTATCGTGGCTGCAGGATGTTAAAATCTTCATTTTTTTTGGATTTATTATAATTTTCTTCTATGCAATTAGATGGACATCAACCAAACCAAACCAAACTAGGCGTAAACAAAACCTGGTTCACACGATTTTCCTATTTTTTCTCCTATTGAACAATAAAAAACGAGTTTAGCTTACATTCATAGAATAAAAATATGTGTCGTAGTCGTCACGGTCGTCAAAAATGGTAGTCATTTTGATATACTTTTACACAAAAAATTTGTTTAGTTGTGCTTGTCTGTGTTTTATTTTTCTGATATTTCGTTTCTATTTTCTAGTTGTTTTTAAGTATCTTTTTAGTTCAATGGTTATTATAAATCAAAATAAAGAGCATTTAGGGAAAAACTACACATAGAGAAGGTTCTCAATAAAGAACAAATTGAATAGATACCTATTTAGAACCGTAATAAGCGTAAACATATTTTGTAACCACATCTTTTTAAATTTCACGCATATTTTATATTATCATAAATATGCGTATTAATGTTATCATAACAGTTGATATTTTATGATTTTATTTCACTATTTTTATTTTTTGCGTCTTTGGTTTAAATCTTAACATCATGGTTTAGATAAGTCATGGAAGTGTTTGCTATCAATTATTATTTATAAAATGACAACGACATTTCAATGCTTACTCTGCGCCGATTTTTTTTCTCGATCGAAGTGTTATGTGTATTTATAGTTTATAAATTTAGTTGTAGTTAATACATAATATTATTATATAATTGATCTGAATATATTATTACTGTTGCATGAAATTTGTCAACTAGAATTTAATAATTGTTCTTCTTAAATTAAAATTGTTAATAGTCAATTTTTTTTTGTACAAATAAAAATGAGTTTTCGATAAGCATATTATCATTATTAGAAACTGTATTTTTTTTTTAATTTTTTGAAGTCCTTAGATATTAAGAGTACCCCAGTTATATTCATTTGGATTCTATTTAGTGGCGGGAAATTCAAAATCAAGAAATACGTTTGTGACAAATCACAATCATCAAGATAAACTTTTCATACTGATTATGATTTAACAAATATATTTAAAGATCTCATTTAAGATATGTAACCAGTATGTGTCATTGTGATTTAAACATAATGGACAACCTAATTGCGGTGCTCTGTTTATCTAGGGACTTTACATGAAATGATAAAAAAGTAATCTTGCTACTCGATTTTAAATATTGATCAGGTCATAGATTTTAATAAAGTGACCCAAATCAGTGGCGACTCGTGGTCATTTGTAAAGGTGAAGCAAAACAATAACCGGCGAGCCGCTACTGATCTAAGTTAAATCCCACTCTGTAAATACGGGCTTTGTATTTTTCTCATATTTTTTTCGAATAATTTATTTCTATTTTAGTTTTGAAAGAGAACTAATAAACTTAATAAGCCCCATATATGCATTCTTTTTACCGGAAAATACTTGCAAAACATTTTTAGACAATTGAGACTTTTTATGCCGCAGGTGACAGAGAGCCCTGCTGTAACTGTTTACCTCACAGTATGCCAGCAAAAAACCGTTTTTCGAGGACTCTGAATCATGTCGTTCCAGTGGTCCTTTCCGGTGCCAACCACTTTAGGCCCTATGGCGCAACATCCCAACAAGGGATTGCTGCCCATAATGTCGTTTCCTTGATCATAGATTGATATCTACAACAATAGCAATGTTAAAATTAAAGAAGTTGAGTCTAAACACACCCGACGTTTTTTGGGCGGTTTATATGCGGCACGACTTTGATCTTAATCGCTTGTCTACGTTCTGCGGACGAGATACCGTGTGTTTTGTAACACTGAAGTCTCATTGCGGCACAGACGCGGCGTAGGGCTGCCTATAAACCGCCAAAAACCGCCGCGTGTTTTTTGGATCTTAACCTCCAATTCCACATTAGCGATGCTCGACGATGGCAGATTAAACGTCAAAGCCTCATTCCAAACCGGATTGCAGTTGGCCTTCTTGCAGGAAGTCTTCTTCTTTTTAGTTCGTTTCCCGTTTACAATCAAGTAGACTTTGACATAGGGATCTACAAATATACAAATCTGAATTTAAAAAATTCTCCAAAATATTTTAGAAATTTTGTCTATTAATTAAGATTATATATCCGGTTTAAGAGTCCATTTCACTAGTCCGAAAAAGTAACAAAATAAGCGTTCGGCATTTAACGTTTTATGTAAAACTGGTTAGGTATTTTTATACAAATGAAGAAGGAAATTAAAGATAAAGGATTAGACTATATCCGTATTGTAGCACATTTTTAGGCAACTTCTTTATTTTTAAGATTTTGATCATCAAAAATCAACAAAGTATCCTTCATGTTTGGACTGAATTTTCTCGGAAATAAAGATATAATTTAAAATTCCGTTAGAATACGGAAACAGACTGAAGTTTTGTAATCACAAATTAATAAATCACTGTAATCACAAAAAAATAAAATCACTGTAATCACAGTGATATGTAATTTATATGGTTTTGTAACAAATTGCTCGCTATTTTATGGCAAATGCTGAAGCTCTGCAAATCTTAATCAAAGCACGTGTGTTTGGAATTTTAGATGTGGCTTAACACGGCAGGATCGGGCTAAGCCTTAGGCAGATTTCTGAAATATAATATATATTTTCTTCGGCCACAAACCCGCTTTACCCGACCCCTGAGGGCGACCCGAAAGTACAGCGTAATAGACTCTTAATATAAGTAGTTTATTGAATAGATTCCTACAAACCTATGAATTCCTTATCTTGGGGCAAGAACAAGTTTCTAGCCTTCACTACGCTCAAGGTGAGTCTTTCAGCAGAGGGTAAGTAATTTAGAGATACCAATAATTCCTGAAGTTCTTCCGGAGGTTTTTTGTTCTTCGTTATCTCACCCCAAATCTCAATACTATTGGCGAAGTCGTAATCAGCCAAAACCATAGATACCTAAATCATAAATAATAAAGATAAGAAACACACATGGCATTATAACAACAGACAAACATGAAATTAGAAATGAAATACACAAATTCTACGAACAACTTTATCAGTTTGTTATACCAAACAGAGATAGAGTACAAAAACACATCACAAACGTAGGATCAGAAGATATGCCAGAAATATCAACTACAGAAATTAAATACGCACTTCAACAAATAAAAAATGGCAAAAGCCCAGGAGAAAATCGTATTACACCTGAAATGCTGAAGATGGGCAGAAAACCATTAGTGGATGCCGTGGAAGTATTGTTAAATAAATGTCTGATGGAGGGTAGAATCCCGGACGCATGGAAAAACGCAGAAGTTCTGCTATTATACAAAAAAGGAGATTTTACAAATATAGAGAATTATAGACCAATAAGCCTTCTCTCACATCTATACAAGCTCTTCACTAGGATTATCAACAACCGACTGTCTACGAAACTAGATTCCTATCAGCCAATAGAACAGGCAGGCTTTCGAAAAGGTTTTTAGTACCATCGATCATCTACAAACAATTAAAACAGTCATTGAAAAAACAACAGAATACAATATACCTCTACATTTGGCCTTTGTAGACTACCAAAAAGCCTTTGACAGCATCGAAACCTGGTTATTTCTAGTGCAATGGAGGACGCGAGAATAGATATTGTTCCATTATTAAAAATATCTATGATAGTGCAACCTTCCAAGTTAAATTAGATGATGATCTCAAAACAGAAAAAATACCACTCGGCAAGGGCGTGAGACAAGGAGATACCATCTCTCCCAAGTTATTTACACTGGCACTGGAAAATGTCTTCAAGAAATTAGAATGGGAAAATAGAGGTCAAAACATCGATGGGTACACCTTAGCCATCTGAGGTTCGCAGACGATATTGTCTTGCTGAGCACCGACATTCAAGAACTAAACACCATGCTAAATGAGCTAAATGACCAATCCCAGAAAATTGGCCTTAAAATGAACTTGAAGAAGACCAAGATAATGAGCAACAATATCCATAACATTACCGTTGACAACGTTATTTTTCAAAACGTAGACCATTATATATATTTAGGTCATAAAATCAAGCTGGGCAAGGAAAACCAAAATACGGAGATCAAACGCAGGATCCATTTGCCATGGGTAGCATTTGGAAATATGAGCAATATTTTCAAGGATAAAAAGGTGCCCATGAACCTAAGGAAAAAGGCTTACATTTAAAGAAAAAGGCTTACAGACAGCTGCATTCTACCTGTGCTTACGTATGGCTTAGAGACTATGGCAATTACCCGAAAAACAGCAGAACAACTACGAGTAGCACAAAGAGCCATGGAAAGAATCATGTTGGGAGTCACCATTAGGGAAAAAATACGGAATACCCACATACGTCAAAAAACAAAATTAATAGATGTCGTTAAAAGAGTGGCAAGTCTGAAGTGGCAATGGATAGGACATGTGGCAAGACAGGATCCAGACCGATGGCCCCAAAAAGTAATCCTATGGAGACCTAGGGGAACAACAAGACGTGTGGGCCGACCAAAAAAGAGATGGGTCCATGACGTCAGGGCAGTGGCGGGAAGACAATGGATAAGATTGGCTAGAGATCGCCAAGCATGGAAAAACCTAGAAGAGGCCTATATCCAACACTGGATGGAACCAGGCTGAGAAAGAAGAAAGAAGAAGAATGATTGAATATCTGTTTTCTTTTCTAACGGGCTTTATAAGTGAAATACACCGTAAAAAAGTTACAAAAACACATCTTAAACACAGAATATCATTATTAAAAATAGAAATTTAAAAAAATTGAAAAATTAATTGGTAGAAACTATTCAAAATAAACAATTTCAGTCATGAGTTCTTTAAAGAGTTTCGTATAAATAAGTATTCCTCTAATATAAACTGGGACTTACTATTAATTTTTTATAAAATCAAAATGCGGTTTTCTATGTTCATGTTGACGGTGCAACATCACTGTACAGGGTGTTTCAAGAAACGTGCCATCTCTCATGGGGAGGTTCCTCTCGGAAAAATAAGATTTATTTTTTATATCAACATAAGTCCGATTCTACTTTGTTTCGTAGCTACAGGGGATTAAAGTCTTAATTTTTTTTCGATTTATTTTAATTTTTTTTCGATTTATTTTAATTTTTTTTTCGAGTGGGTCTAAAAAGTGATTCGATTGAAATTTGAAGTTTAAAGTTACTATAAGTGTTGCATATTTTAATGCTAAAAAACTGTCGACAGGTTCATCAGGGACGTGCATGTGGGTTATCCCTATTATTTGTTTAATCTTATTTTATTAAATTTTGTTAAAATTTATAATACTAATATTCAGTCCTATCTACAGCAAATTCAAAAAAAAATAATGGTATTTATGACAATTTACAAAAAATACAAATTACAAATTTACAATAAATTACAAAAGGCCTATTTTTTAAGTTTTTTGTTCAAGTTTTAAGTTTTAACATCCTGTAACTTTAAAACTACTTATGCATTTCCAACCGTATGTTTATAGGAACTTTCATATTTTTTGATGAGGAGTCAATGAAAACTTATCTAATATCTTGGTCAGTTAATGGCATTAAAAAATTTTTAAGGTTACTATTTGACTTGGGTTAGAGCAAATTAATAAAATTGTGTTTATCTCATCAATGAGGCCGAAATCGACAAAATATCAAGAGGCAATTTTTAATAGGCATTAAACTGACTATATAATTTTGCTAACAAGAGAAAAAAAGTCAGTGGTGCACATATTTTTTTTTTTAGAAAAACATTCCAGTGATAACCCATATGCACGTGCCTGGTGAATATGTCGACACATTTTTAGCATTAAAATATGTCGCACTTGTAGTGACTTTTACCCTCAAAATTTTATTCGAACAGCTAAAAACACTCGGAAGAAAATTATAATAAATCGAAAAAAGTTGAATAATTTAACCCCCTGTATCTACGAAACAATAAAGCAGAATCCAGGGACACACATACGGGAGGGGTAATGGGGGTAATTACCCCTCCCAGGAAGAAATTTATGAATAAAGTAAAATGTGTTATAAAATAAAATTATCTCAAAAGAAGTTAATAATTACTAGTCAAATAGCAAGTCCAAACCAATCAAACTATATTTCTTTCCACTTTCCACAGTCACATTACCTTTCAGCGAAAATATAATTTTAATTTAGTACTGATTATATAAATATTGTCACTACCCCTCCCAGACTCAATCTCTAGATGCGCCAATGGCAGAATATAAAAAATAAATTTTATTTTTACATAAGGAATCTTATGAGAAATGGCACATGTTTTGGAAACACCCTGTATATTGAAATCGTGAATCATAGTAAACCGATCGATAGATTGACAGAATAGAATGTTGATTAAGCGTTCGGTTTACGTTACCTCGCCTATAATGTCGTTTCTGGAAAATCTGTCGTAATCAAACACCTGCAGCAGCAAAGTTTTCAATTTGAGTTCATCGTGCGAGACCGGAAACTTGAACAGCTGATTGAAAACGGGATTGGCGTCGTTTCTATGGATGCAGGTTTGACGTTTTCTCGTATCCACTTCCGGCAGCAGCATCAGCCGAACGTAGGGGTCGTTGAATCCGCCCTGGTCAATCCCGGCCAAATCGTGAGCTAAAGAATATTATGAATATACTAATGGATTGCATTCTACGCAGTGATACTTAGGCTTGCAATATTCCGTTGCAAAACCAGGCGGTAAAGAGCGGTTCCTGAAAAGCATCGGTTTGATACGGAACGGTTTGGTAAAATACCGGAAACGTCAAATGTTGACGTTTTCTAAATTTCAATACCTTTATTATAAAATTTATCTTTTATGCATTTTTAATTTACCTATTCTCTGCTTTTACGTTTGCTTCTTCTTTACAATGGAGTTTAATATTGAAAAGTACTTTATTAATAAACTGTTAAACTCGTTAGATAGCTCAAGTGAAGATTTGCAGGTCCAATATTAAAACAGATCAATAATAAATAAACGAATCTAATCAATATTTATATTTTTATATGTTGTCTTGTTTTTCATGTTTTCTTTAAATGTTCCTGACTTTAAGAAACAATGGCTGCATGATAAGTTTAAATAGTGAAAAACACACATCGATATCCGTTACCGTTTCAGAGTTACGGGGTGTTTTTCAAAAATGTTTCAAACCAAGACAAGAGATTTTGCTACAGGTGTTCGACATGTCTTTTGTTATGGACAGATGGGACCGTTTTTGAACATTTCTCGCGGAATTCATTAACTCACTGGGGGTGAAAGATACTCTCGTATAACCGCTAACCATATATACGGACAATTTATATATAAGAACCTGTATTAAAAAACCCATAGGCGCTAAATCTGGCGGCTTCGACGGCCAACGTCTGGAATATTGGTTAGCTATTCAATTATTCTCGAAATGGGCTGCAAAAATTTGCTGATAACTTCAGCGTTCTGAGACGGTGCCTCGTCTTGCTGGAAAATATGTTTTTGAGTTCCATTAGGGACAGATCATCAATAAGGGGTCCAAAGCCTACTAGTTAAAAGTGGCAAACTTTTAACTAGTATGATTTCATTTTTACTGATAATGATTTCATTATTTATGATTTTTGTGACAAAGATAGCACCTTTCTTTGCCAGCTCTGGACCTTTTCTTGCCCATGTAATGTGTCAAAATAATGTACTTTAGTAAATCTTGTTCCTCGACTTTAAGAAGAAGTTCTAATTTCTGCCGTATCGAGCGCTGCGGTCAGAATTTTTAAAATTAACTGAAATGCACCACGCCTATGTATATCGATGCGAAAAATACCCGGTATTACAAAAATTTCTGTTATAACGCCACCGCTTCTAATTTATAAGTAATGACGTTCAAAATGAGCTCAGAGTTGAATTTACCTTCGATGAGATGTACCACAAAATCGGACCGATCAAAGTCGTAGTTCAGTCTAAAGTGGAGTCTTCCTAGGCCGGTTCCAGTCTTGTTGGTCTCGCCTATGAACAGTGGTCCGTCTTTCTTGAGGTATAGGTCCGGTTGGATGGCTCCCAGAGGGCTCGCGGGGGGTAGGGATGAGGCATTCTCCGGGGTCGGTCCTCGGGAAGATGGAATGAACAACGGTGATAAGCATCTGCAAAGAGAATTGATGGGATTTCACATTTAGAAAGGTTATTCATGATAAGAACTTATCTCGTCTCGTCTCGAAATTTCGAGATAAAACATTATCGAGACGAGACGCGACAATGTCGAGACGAGACGAGATAATGTCAGTAGTATAGCTAGCGGGATACTGGATCAATTTTTGCTCGATGGCATGTTTTCCATCAGCATCGATCCGTGAGCCGAAGAAGTATTGACCTTGATTAATTTGAAGGTCATTTCAAAAGAGATAATGTTTGTGTGGGTAGTTCTTGTAAATTTACCGGAGGCTGTTGAAAAGGGCCTTAATATAATTGTTAGGGTGGTGGGTGAGGGTAGGTTTTTAAGGGTAAGCATGAGGGTAGTGTAAATGCTGCTTTGCCAGATCTAAATAAGTAGATTTAGGGAGTTTGCATATATGCCATGTTATAAGAGTTACATAGGTTGGGGTGCTATAGACGAGAAATTTCCTTAAAATTTAGGAAAATGCCATGTTGTTGCTGTGTGTTTAAAAGGTTAGAGGTTATCAATAAGAATATTGCGTTGTTATTGCATGTGATGATGCATAATAGGTTAAAGGTTATCAATAAGAGTACTAATTTTATATTGTTTACTTTTATGCCTTGTTGTTGTTGTATGTGATAACGTTTAAAAGGTCAAAGATTATCAATAAAAATATTGCGTTGTTATTTTATGTGATGATGCATAATAGGTTAAAGGTTATCAATAAGAATATTGCAGGCAATGATGCAATCAATAATAATACTAATTTTATCTTGTTTATATATTATCTTGATCTATTTTTTTCTGTAATATATATATATATAAATGTAAATTTTGAGATTTATATTTAGTTGTTGCCGAATCGTTAGAGAAAAAGAAAGTATAAGTAAAGAAAAAAAAATGTTTGCAAGAATTTTACCAATTGTTATTGTTGCTACAGTTAATTTATCAACTTTAGTACCATTAGACGGTGGTGAATGTGTGAGAAATGTAAAAGTTGGGAATGAAGATATATGTGTGGTAGAAAATGGAACATTTTATTTATTTGAACGATATGAAGATAAAGTTATATTACAAGAGTATCCTGCTTTCTATTCGGATAAGAAAATTCCTCTCAATACACCTATTGAAAATTCAAATGGTGGTTATATAGGTCAGGTTATAGGAGAATATCAAAATTATTATCCAATTGCTCCACAAGAATTTAATAAAATGTACTGTGGAAGATTCAATTTGACTAGTTTAGTTGAAGATCGACCTATAGTTTTCCAAAAGAGAGAATTTAAATCAGTTAATGATTTTAATGCAAACATTACACTACCCTTGGATCCATTTTGTTTCATCTACATGTAATTCCCCACTACATTTAAGTATATATATATATTTAATAAGAAGCACTAAAGATTGAAAATGTATATATCATATATCTGCTGCGGATGTTGGAGAAACATATACCACATAGACTTTGTTCATTTACCACAATTGGAGACTACTTCACCTCGAAAATCACGTATGATATATTGTGAAAAGTGTAGACGTTGGACTATATGGTTATTAATAGAGGAATAGAAGATATGGATCCAAAGCATGATATAATTACATTTTTTTGTGTCTATTGCAATTGTAAAATTATAAAAATTAGAGATAAACCTAAAATGTTAAAATGTTGTAGGAAATGTTTTGTTTATTATGTTTGTGGTATAAATAGTTTAAGAGGAATGCTTGAAGAGTGTATAGGTAGTAAATAAAAATGATATGTACTCATAAAATATGTTTTATTTATGCAATATTATCCTTAGCTATCCAACTATTATGCTTATTATCAAAACCTAACCATTTTACAAAAACTTTTTTACCCTTTCGTTTTAACACTTTTTCAACTAAATAAATGTCTGAATATTTCACTTTTTGAAGCTGAAGTTCATAAAATCCTCCTTTAATATCTTGATTATTTTCATCTTGTAGCAAGTATGTAACTGGATTGGTAAGTTGCACTTTTTTAATAGTAAATATTTCAGTTGACCAATTAGGTTTATACTGTTTATCAAATGCTCCTCGAAATTTGGATATGCGTACATAATCACCCATTTGATATTTTGGTTTAGTAGTCATTTTTATCCTATTGAATACAGTTTTTAAGAGAAGTTTTTCATGTTTCTTTTTTACTTCTGCCGGTTTCATTCCAATTGTTCGATGTTTTCTATTGTTGTATGCATTTACAACACCTTTTATCAAATTTAACCATTTGTATGTCCCTTGCATATTAAATTCTTTCCACATCATACCTTTCAGTGTTCTATTAACTCGTTCAACAATTGAAGCCTTTTTTTCACTATATACTACATAGTGGGCAACATTATACTTTTTCATCAATGCTTGAACCTCTTTGCCGGTAAATTCACCACCTGAATCTGTACAGAGATGTATTGGTGTTTGAATTTTGAAAACATTTTCAAGATTTTCAGCCACTTCTTTTGCAGTTTTCGATTTTAAGGGAAATGTCCATACATACTTAGAAAAACAATTAATTACCACTAAAATATATTTGTATCCTTGGTTTTCCTTTTCATATTCCCTCATATCCACTAAATCAGCTTGCATTAGATCTAATAAAGATTTAACAATAACTTTTCTACGCTTAAAATTAATTCTTGCCGGTTTATGTATTTCATTAACAATTTGTCTTTTTGCTTCAGTAGCAAACATGTTATTCAATAATATCTGCCTCTCGTAGTTCTTCTACAATTGAAACAATTTCATTTCCAACACCTGTATTGCCTGCTGATTCAGAAGCCAGTAACAATTGTAATCTTGTTACCAATTCATTAGGATCATCCCAGTAAACGTAATCAATTGAATTATCTGAAACTGTCATACTCATTCCATTGCCTATTGTTTCTTTATCATCATCATCATCATTATCACTATAATCTTTGCTATTTAATCGATCCATCATAAACGGTTCAACAATCTTTTTAAATTTAGTATTATTGCTTGTAATAGTTGTTAAGCTTGGATTAAAATGCTTCTTAATAGCATGCGTTTTGAATAGAATCTGAGAATAATTTTTAGCATCGTCTTTAGTATAAACCTTTGGCACATTCTGATTAAAAAGTAAACCGTAAAGTCCCTTAGTGCCTTTTATTTTTTTACCAGCAATTATTAAATCAGGACCATCAAAATCAATTCTTTTACTACCAATTGAAAACTTTTCTATAACCTTATCATATTTAACTCTAAATTTACCATCAGATTTGTTACTATTTGGATCGTTTATAAATTTTTTTATATATTTTTGTGGTAAAGAATGATACTGATCATAATAATCGGTTAATGATTTGTCTCTTATTGTCTTATTTAATTCTTTTTCATATTCCTGTTGTTTTAGCTTTTCTTCTTCATATAAATCTTGCTGTACACCTTTTACTATTAATTTTCGTAAATTGTACGGTTGCAATCTTTCAGAAAAACTTAATTTTCTTTTCTTTATACGTGGCACACTTATAGATGTATTTGTCCCGATTCTTGGAGTAAATTCTTTTGGCGTGGATGATGTGGTAGGGACTGGTTCGGAAACTATAGATTTTTCATCAACACCATACTCATCAGCAGAATAATCTTCTTCGTCTTCATCACTTTCCTGTTTATCAAATTCTAATATATTTTCATGTTTGATATTAACAGGTAGAGATTTTGGTTGTGGTGGCTCTTTGATTGAAACAGGCTCCAGTTTACTTTCAATTTGTTGCAGATGTTTTGTTATGGGTTGAAACATATTCTCATGAACAGTTTGGCCATGTTTTAAAATATTTATTTTTTTACGAATATCTTTTCTTTTATTAATTAATTTTTGTTTAACAGATTTTTCTTGTTTTTGAGACATCATAATCATCTTGATTCAACGATTTGTGTATAATAATATTTAAAATTTAATTAAATGTATATATAACTATCAAAACAGTAACGATAACGCCCACTATTAATGTTGTTATCTTTGAAAATTGATAGAAAACCAAAAGGTTCTCTCCTCCAACAGTAACCACATATACGTTTAAAGTTTTCAAAAGACATATCAGTGCCTACATGATCTGTATAGATATGCTTAAGATTTAAATCATCTTGTTTGAAAATAATTAACAAATTAACGTTATCTCTTATCAAATGTTTCGGAATTTTTGTATACGTCTGACATAAGTAAAAACAATCAATATTGTTGTGTCGTCCCATACTAAAATATTCTCTTATTATGTTTTGATTATCACAGGCAACATCATCAAATATAAATACTGAATTTGGTTTCGCTTCAGATGGTGCAATTATTTTATCACTACTATTGTAAGCATAATATCCTATTCCTTTAATTGGTTTCAAAAGATTCTCCAAGTAGACATATTTAGGTTGATATAAGGATTTTGAATAGAGATATACATTCTCAAATTTCAAACCATTAGGGTGTTCCAAGAGGCTAATCATTGTGTTGGTTTTACCACAATTGGATGGTCCTGTTATAGCACATCGCATAGTTGAAGGAAATAGAATGCTATGTTTCAAAGGTTCATTTGTTGCACTATCATGATTATCAATCTTTAAAGTAGTTTTTTGTTTAACAACCTTCTTCATGTTAACAAAGTTTACTAAAAAATGGATATAAAAATTGTTCATTATATAATTTATACTTAGTGTTAGATTAGAAATCAGTCATGAAATATTATACCAAGCAGCAACATACTGGTAGTGGTGTTATAAACACTTTAATAAACAAATTACCATTTGAGTTACATTTACCGGGATATAATTACTGTGGACCAGGAACTAAATTGAGTGAACGTTTAGAACGCGGTGACAAAGGTGTTAACATGTTAGATGAGGCGTGTAAAGAACATGATATAGCATATTCAGAGAGAAAAAATGTATCTGATCGTCATGAGGCTGATAAAACATTACTTAAAGCAGCTCTAAGTAGAACTACTTCAAACGATGCTTCATGGAAAGAAAAACTAGCAGCATTAGGTGTTTCAGCTGCAATGCACACCAAGTTAAAGTTGGGTATGGGATTGAATAAATTGACACATAAAAATAAAATTTGTTCATTCAAATCTGAACATCAACAGAGTTCAAAGATAATAGAGCAAATTATAAAATCTATGCAAGTTTATTTGAGAAAAATGGAACTATTGAAAGATAAACATAGAAAATTGCTACAGCAAAATTCTAAAAATACAATTACAAAAAAACAAAGTAAACAAAAGAAAATAGTTCGAGTTAAATTAGATAGAAGTAAAAATCAAAAATTTAAAGTAAAAAAGAGTAAGTGGTATGATAATGATGATAACGATGATGATTTAAATAAATCACAAAACCAAGAGCTTCACATTGATAATTATGAAAAGAAAATTCAACATAAAATTAAGGGAAACGATAATGTACAAAGTAAACAAAAATATGAAGAAGCGTTGACTGAAATCAATAAAAAGGGTAAAAAACGTAGAATTTCTGATAATGATGATGATCATGATATAAACAGACGTAAACCTAAAATTCAAAATGAAAATGTATCTACTCTATTATTACAAGGTTCTAAACGAAAACTAAATGATGCTGATAATGATACTAAGAAAAATATTAATAAAAAAGCAAAAATAATTAGTTTAAAGCGTACTTATGATGCAGAAGTTCATGATAATGATGATGATGAGAATAATTATGTAAAAAGAACTAAATATATATAAGATGCTACAAATCTATTGATAACTTAATTGAAAAATAACAACAAGATGACAAAGTCAATGAAGAGCAAAACAATACAAAAACCGAAAAGTAAGAAGGTTATAAAAAAGGGGAGGCAAAAGAAAAATAAAAATGGTAAATCTTTTCAATCGGTAACGAGTGCAATTAAAAAGGCTATACTGAAACAAGAACCTAAAAACCTTGAAAGTGCATTAAAAATAGGAGTAAAAACAGGTACCGCTAGAAATAATGGAAATATTATCAAGACACCACGTGTTATAAAAATTCCTAAAACTGGAGGTATTCTACCATTAATACCAATTTTTGCTGGTCTTAGTGCATTAGGTGCTCTAAGTGGTGGAATCGCAAATGTTGTAAAAGCTGTAAAGGAAACAAAGGCTGCAAAAGAACAACTCAATGAAGCCCAACGTCACAACAAAACCATTGAAGCTATTGCAATGGGTAAAGGGATGTATTTAAAACCATACAAGACAGGATTAGGGCTTTTTTTACATCGAGGTTTCAAATCAAAAAACCAACCCTAACATTACCTAAACATGCTCTTAATAATTTGGAATTAACAACATATGCTAAAAAATTAAAAGTGTTACATTTTCGAGGTGTTTTTATGAAGGATTGTCTGCCAAGAAAAATTCATAAGTTTGAATCAGGAATAGTTAATCTTGATAATATGTCGGGAGCTGGAACGCATTGGACTGCATATCGAAAAATAAATATGAATATTTACTATTTTGATAGCTATGGTAATTTAACTCCTCCGCTAGAACTTGTAAAATATTTTAAATCCAATGGACTTTGTAACATATTTTATAACCATACACCTTATCAAACTTTTAATACTGTAAATTGTGGTCATTTATGTTTAAAATTTCTAATAAATAGTTACACTTAGATACTGTGAGTTTTATTATTTTTTCAACCTTCAACAATGTCATACACGTTTACTTTATCAGGTAAAGAATCCACACTTTCAGCTAGAATATATCCTCCTATTGTTCTCAGTGAAAATGATGAATACGTATTGGGCTTAATTAATTTTGAAAGTTACAATTCTATTCCGAATATTGACAGTACTAATAATATTTTTTATTATGATAAAACTAAGAAGATTGTTTTGCCAGAAGGATCTTATGAAATTCAAGATATAAATCGATATTTGCAAGAGTGGTTTAAGCAGCATTCAAAAGAAGAGCAAGTGGATATTTCTATAGAGGCAAATCATAATACATTACAATGTGAACTTAAATGTAATAAATCTGTTGATTTTTCAAAGGAAAACTCTATTGGAAGTCTATTAGGTTTTAGTAATCAAATATTAAAAGAGAACCAGATACACATATCAAAGAACCCTGTTGATATTTTTAAAGTGAATTGCATAGCGATAGAATGTAATCTTGTAACAAATTCATATAACAATGGAAAGCCAGTTCATATCATTCATATGTTTTATCCTACCACCGCTCCAGGATTTAAAATCGTTGAAAAACCATCAAATGTAATATATTTACCAATCAGCATGCGCTATGTTGATGAAATTATACTTAAAATAACAGATCAAGATGGAAGACTAATCAATTTTAGAAACGAGCTGGTAACGGTACGTTTACATCTAAAGAAACATAATGGTATTTATCTATAATAATGATTCTTATACACCGTCCAATGAACTGTATATAAAACAAAAGAGTTTTCAGAGACGGTTCAGTAGTAAGAAACAGTTAAAAGAATTAACACATTCCAATCAAGAATATCTACTATCATTAGGATTCAGATTGAAAAGAAAGAAGTTACAAAATTAAGAAAGTTCAGAAATTTTGGCTAAACTTTAAGCTACGTCTTAGAACTAGTTTAACTGATTTTTTAGTTTTTTGTAATTGTAAATTCAAGTGTACCAGTAAAGATGAGTTATAACATCTTAAAAGTTAATGAAAGTGTTACACAAGATGATTCAATAGTGAGCTATCAGTATCACACTCACCAACCCTATTCATCTACAACCTTGAACAACAACGATGAAATCAGAATCCCAATACAAACTCAAGATCTGTATACTTTACCAAGTCAGAGTTACCTCTATATTGAAGGAAAATTAACAAAATCTGACAACACAGCAAGTGCTGATGTACAATTTGTGAATAATGGTGTTGCTTTTTTGTTTGATTAAATTCGCTATGAAATGGGAGGAGTAATTGTTGATAGAGTTAGAAATCCTGGAGTTACATCAACTATGAAAGGTTATATTTCATTTACTCCTACAGAGGCTAACTGTTTACATAACGCCGGGTGGCATGATACAAAGAATCCATCATTAATCGATGGCAATGGAAATTTTAATGTTTGCATACCATTGAAAATGCTGATGGGTTTTGCTGAAGACTATCATAAAATTGTAATGAATGTAAAACAAGAACTAGTCCTCATACGAAATAATTCTGATTTTAATGCCATTCATTCAGCTAATGAAACAAAGGATAGCTATAAGATCACTTTGAATAAAGTGTTGTGGAAAATGCCTCATATATCAGTTAATGATAGTCAAAAATTACGATTACTAAAAATTTTGAAAACAACAGAGATTTACCGATTGCCTTTAGGAGTTGGGAACTGCATGAATATCCAGAATTGCAACAAACTAAAAACCATACATGGGCTGTTAAATCGAGTAATCAGTTGGAAAAACCTCGTTATATTATTATTGGATTTCAAACAGATGTAAAAAATCATATAACAAAAAATATGAGTCGATTTCAACATTGTAACTTGACCAATTTAAAAGTATATTTAAACTCAGAAGTATATCCTTATGACAATTTAAATATAGATTTTACTAATAATAGATATGCAGTCCTATATGAAATGTATACTCAATTCCAAAAATCATACTACTATAAAGCGTTTAGTGAACCAACCTACTATCCCATTCTGTTCAAGAACAATGCCCCTCTGGTGGTCATTGATTGTTCACGTCAAGGAGAGGATATTTTAAAGGGTGGTGCAGTCGATATTCGCATTGAGTTTGAAACAGGTGAAATAATGCCCGCCAAAACTACTGCATATTGTTTAATTTTACATGATAAATTAGTAAAATACAACCCACTAACAAGCACTGTAAGAGTGCTTTAAAAACTAAACAAAAAAGTCAGTCGTTCGTAGTCAGTCTAAGCGAATAGACATATCATCATCGCTATTCAAAATGTTTATTATTGATGTACAAGGCTTTCAGTATGGATCAGGAAATTTTATTTGTAAAGAATTGGCAATAGTCAACGTTAACGACAATGGACATTTGGCTGCACATAAATTTATAAGTTATCCATTTGAATTGAAACAGTACAATTCAAAAGTTAGAGATCATATGGAATGGATAACTTGCAATTTCCATGGTTTAAAATTTGATGTTTTGTATGGAGAAGAAAAATGTTTACCGTATGAAGATATTTCGAGTTTCATTAAAAAACACGTGTGTTCAGAAATTGTTGCTGTTAATGGGGCAGAAAAGAAGCAATGGTTAGAAAAGTTTTTAGATAATGAAATAATTGATTTACATATAGAAAGATGTCCATCATTTGATCAATTAAAAAATGTATTCAAATCTTATCATTGTTTAAAACATTTAGATAGTAGTTTATATTGTGCAGTTGAAAATGCATATTTCCTATTTTATTGGTATACTTATTGTAAAAAGCAAAACTTTTAAATAAAACATTGAAAATAATAATAATGTATTTTATTTATTAAAATATAGATAGACTATAATAATATCTATAATGATAAAACGGTATATTTCTGTCCCTCGTACTCGTCTGCATCGTCATCGTAAACCTCTATTAATTCTTGTTGTTGCTGTTGCGATGATGTTGGGTACACCATTCTGTTCTCCAAAATTTTTATCTTTTTCTGTTTGGGCTCCTGCACTTCATCAGGGCGGTGGTGGTGGTGTGAAGACTCTGTTTGACTTGTTGTTGTATTTTCTTCCTCAATAGAAGGGTAAAAATTTACATTCGAAAATTCCTTCATGCCCTGTAGGAATAGTTGCAGTTCTGCTTCGTCTTCTGCTACCACCCTGATATACTGTAGCGGTAAATTTTTTATTTTTCCTTCGACTGTTGCATTTTTTGGTGAATATGATAGATATAAATGTACTCTACCATTTACCACTTTCACCTCTTTCAACCCATATCTAAATGTACAAAAAAAAATATTTATAGAAGAAACAATAAATGAATAAATAAAAAAACAACTACTATGGAAATAAATTTATAGAAAAAAAAAACAATAGACTTACCTAAATAAATTTTTCAAAAAAACAACCAACAATTTAGTTGGCAGTCTCTTCTTCTCTAGGCTTTCAAAAATAAATATTGAAGGAGTATTCATCTTAGAGAGCAAGATTGACTATAATGCAGCATAGAATTTTCTGTCTTTATATATATTTTAAAACAAAGAAAAAATATATGACACGATATGAATAATAAGTTGTTTACAGGATACGCAGATTTAGAACATGTATCTAAATCAAAACAAATCCATAAATTATTAAAAAATGCATACAAAGTAATAAATTAATAATATGCAATATCATTTTGTTAAAAACAATGAGTATGTAAATTAAAGATAAATTATTAAAAAAATATATACAAAGTAATAAATTAATCACATGCAATATATATATATTTGTTATTAAAAACAATAATTATGCTTATTTTGCAATCTAATGATAATTTTATTAAAATATACATTCGCTCAGTCTGTAAAAAATTGTAATGTAACGATAGATTATTCAAATTATAAAAACAAGTTCTAACACGCTTGTAATAGATTGGAAAAACAAATTAATGATTCTTGGAATATTTCTAATAATTTTAAACAAACAAAACAAGACGTAAGCAATTAATTTTAATATTTTATGAAAACAATTTATCTAATAAAGTTACACAATTATCTAATTAAATCCTAGATAGTGATAAAATGTATTATTTATGGAAAATTTATGATAATTATATGCATGCAAACAAATCATGATCGTAGGCAATTAATTTTAATATTCTAATACGAATAAATATTATGAATTATGATGCAATTAACTCAGTTAAATCGAAAAAACATATTTATTGTTTATATTCAGAGGTGACTATATAAACATTCAATTACTGTTGAAATCTCATTGCATTAAGTATTAATAACAAATTAAATATGAATACAAAAATTGATGGTGTTGCTAATGAAGTGATAAGAAAATTTGAGAGGGTAAGACATTTAATTATCTCTAAAGATGAAATTTTAAAATGGACTAAAATTTTGAAGGGGTTTATTATAAATATTAGAAAATGTATTAAGAATAAACTAGATTGTGTGAAAAATTTTTATAAAGTAGAGTCTCAATTATTATTGTTATTAAAGTATAGGGAATATTTTAAAAAGAAATGTATAAAGACTAAAAAAACAAAAACTTAGTTTGGGTAGATGTTGATTCATGTTTTAATGGGCGGATTCGAACAGGTGCAATAATAAATTTAGGTATAAAAGATCCAGACATATTTTTAAAAAAGGCCTTAAGAAGTTTTTTAATTAAAATTAGACAAGCTCTGAAGACTTCAATGATTAAAGTTAATGTTAACTTTTTAGCTAATTTTATAAAACCTACTAATTCTGAAATAGAAGTAAAGCATTTTACTACTAAAAATCAAATAATTGATAATTCTACAAATTTAAAAAAGTGGTATAAGGAATATATTAGAAATTATATTTTAACAAAATTATCAGAATTTCAAGAACGAGATAGTGGTTGGGCACTTTATGAAATTCTTCAACTTAAAGTAAATATAAATAAATTTGTACCTATACTGCAGGTTTTTCTACATTTGTTAATACACCTAAATTTATATACAAAACGAAATCTGTAATAAACATAAAAAATAATGATGAATATTGTTTTCTTTGGTCAATAGTTGCATATTTAAATCCTGTTTCGATTAATTCTAATCGTGTTTCATCCTATCCTCATTTTAGTGAAATAACCTATAGAAAAGATAAAAGAAAATTAAGCTATGAAAACTTTCAATTTCCTATGCATTTAAAGGATATTCCAAAATTTGAAAAATGTAATAAAATTTCTATAAACGTTTTCAGCTATCAAAAAAACGAAATTTTTCCTTTAGCTTTAAGTAAAAATGACTTTTCTATTAAAATAAATTTACTACTATTACCAAACCATTCTGATATTGAGGATGCGAATAGTACTGATGATGATGATGATGATGAAATTGAATGTTTTAAACAAGAAACATATCATTTTGCTCTTATTAAAAATTTATCTCGATTACTTCATAAACAGTTACCTAATCGAAAGAATAAATCATGGTTATGCGAACGCTGTTTAAATTCATTTATATCACAAACAATTTTGGAAAAGCATTCAGTTAGTTGTAAAAAAATGAATACATTTCAAGTTAGAAATCACTCAATGAAAAAGAAAAAATATTAAAATTTTCAAAATTTAAGTATAAGGAAAGTGTTCCTTTTGTTATTTATGCTGACTTGGAATGTATTCTTTTCGATGTGAAAAATGAAAATAGTTTTAATATAAAATCGAAAAAGTGTCAAAAACATGAACCATTTAGAATTGCATACTATTTGAAATGTTCATATAATGATGAACTTTCACGTTTTAATCTGTACGCTGGTAAAGATTGTATAAATTGGTTTATTAATGAACTAAATACTATAGCGTTAGATGTGCATAATATTCTTTGTAACATTATTCCAATGAAACCTCTTACACAAGCACAATACCAATATATTCAAAGCTGTAAGTAAGAGTGTCACATTTGTTTGATACCGTTTAATAAAAATGATACAATTGTTAAGGATCATTCACATTTTACGGGTGATTTTCGAGGTCTTGCTCATTCTCACTGCAATATTAATTATCAGGATTCTCATACAGTACCTGTTATCTTTCATAATCTCTCAGGCTATGATAGTCACTTCCTGATAAGGGCTTTAGCTACTCAGATTAAGGGAAACATGAGTTTTTTACCATTAAACAAAGAACGATAATTTCCTTTACAAAATACATTCACAACACAAAAGTTAATTTTAGATTTTTAGATTCGTTTCGTTTTATGGCTAGTAGTCTCGATAAATTAGCATCTTATCTAGTAGATAATCAAAAAGAAATTATTCTAAAATATTATCCAAAGCATGTGGAGTTCCAATTGTTGTCACGTAAAGGAGTTTTTCCTTATGAATACCTAAATAATTGGGAAAAATTACAAGACATTGAATTGCCTACAAAAGATCAATTTTATAGTTCTCTTAATAAAACAAATATTTCCGAAGAGGATTATCAGCATGCAAAATTAGTGTGGAACACGTTTAGCATTAAAAATCTACAAGAATATGCAGAATTATACTTAAAAACCGATGTTTTGTTACTTGCTGATATTTTTGAAAATTTTAGAATTACATGTATGAAGACCTATGGATTATGTGCTCTTAATTTTTTTACCGCACCTGGATTAGCTTTCCAATCTATGCTGAAAATTAGTAATATAGAGCTTGAATTGTTAACTGACATTGATATGATTATGTTTATTGAACAAGGTATACGAGGGGGTGTTTCACAATGTTCTAATCGATATGCAAAAGCAAATAATAAATATATGGAAAACCAATTTGATGACAATGAACCTTCATCATATCTTATGTATTATGATGTTAATAATTTATATGGAGCAGCTATGTCTATGCCTCTGCCTCAATCACATTTTGAATGGGTTCAAGATATATATGAGTTACCAAATATAATAGATATTCCTGAAAATAGTGACATTGGTTATATCTTTGAAGTTGATCTTACTTATCCTCAAGAACTTTTTGATTATCACAAAGATTTACCATTATGTCCGGAAAGGAGAATACCTGCTGGTTCAAAGATTCCTAAATTACTTACAACTCTATATAATAAGGAAAAATATATCATTCACTATCGTAATTTACAACAAGCCGTTAGTTTAGGATTAAAAATAACAAAAATTCATAGAGTTTTAAAATTTAAACAGTCTTGTTGGTTAAAGTCTTACATTGATTTAAATACAGCATTGCGAAAAAATAGTAAAAACGAATTTGAAAAAAACTTTTACAAACTGATGAACAATGCTGTATTTGGTAAGACTATGGAGAATGTTCGTAAATATAAAGATATTAAACTTGTAACGAAATGGTCAGAAAGGTATGGAGCTAAATACTATATTTCACAACCAAATTTTCATAGTTGTACCATTTTTGATCAGGACATGGTAATAATCGAAATGAAACGTGTAAAAGTTAAATTTGATAAACCAATTTATGTAGGATTTTCCATTTTAGATTTATCTAAGACTTTTATATACGATTTTCATTATAACTATATTCAAAACAAATTTGGAGAAAAAGCAAAATTATTATATACTGATACTGATTCTCTCATCTACCATTTTTTTGTGAACGATATTTATTACTCAATTCAGCAAGACATTCATAAATTTGATACATCAGACTATCCTCCTAATAATGTGTATAATATACCACAAAAAAACAAAAAAATATTAGGTCTTATGAAAGATGAAAATAATGGGAAAATAATGACTGAATTTATTGGTTTACGATCTAAACTGTACACTTTTAGAACTCAAGCACATAGTTGTGAAAATTTAAATGTTAGTAAAAAAGCTAAGGGTATAAAGTCATCTTCACTTAAAGCTATAACTTTTGACGATTTTTATCAATGTCTTTTTAATAATTCCACTCTTGAAACTGAACAACATTTAATTCAATCAAAAAAACATCAAGTGTATACTATAGCCCAAAGAAAAATAGCTCTATCTCCGAATGATGATAAAAGAATTATTAATTATTTGTATACAGATACAAAACCATGGGGTTGGGAACTAAGGGGAAACATTTAGAAAATCTTTAGATTTTATTTATTTGTTATAAAACCTCTCATTTTTTGAAAACATAGTCAAATGATGATGATGAAATATTGATGATGGAAAAGAGAAAATGCTTGAAATATGTAAAAGCAATTCCAGGAGCCTTTACTCCTACCAAAGGATCTCCTAGAGCTGCAGGATTTGATTTAAGGAGTGTCTACAGTATAACTGTACCTGCAAGGGATAAGGCGCTCATAAATACAGGTCTGAAATTTGAATTGCCTTCAGGATGCTATGGAAGAATAGCACCTAGATCAGGATTAGCTTCAAAAAACGGCATCAATGTTGGAGGTAGAATTTTATTTTTATAATTATTAATATGATAACTATTCATTTTAATTTTCTTCTAGCTGGTGTTATCGATCAAGATTATAGGGGAATTGTGATGGTTCTACTCTTCAACCATTCGAATGAAGACTTTCAAGTAAACGTTGGAGATCGTATAGCTCAATTAATTTGTGAGCGTATACACTATCCTGAATTGGTTGAGGAAAAAGAACTTACCCATACAGAACGCAACACCAATGGTTTTGGATCAACAGGGCGATAATAAAAACCTAGCTCTAAGTGTTTTTTTTATATAACTTGCCTATAAATATTATTGTAATGAATATATTTATTAAGTATATTAAGCCTATTAAAAAAAAATAGAAGCATTTATGCTAGAGAAATTTCCTCAAATCGTGGTATAAAATGTAAAGATTATATTATTTTACTTTAGTATCCATAATAGTTAAGACAGATAGAGAGCGTGAAAAATTTTATTAATAAAAAAATAAGAATGGTAAATACAGATCTTCCGCAAGAAGTATCAGACGAAATTCGTAAATGGCGAGAATTTAAAAGATGTCCTGCATTCAATTACGAGTGTGGTAGATTGTTGTCAGCATTTGACAATCCTGGGAAATTAACAGGTGCTGATTTAAAAAGGCTTACCGACAAATCTGATGTACCTGAATATGTGAAAACTGCAGTAAAACGGGACATTGATGATCGCCATGCTGCACATTTACGTAACATACCTGGACATTTTTAATTTATGATTATAAATAGATCAGTTTGTAATATTTAGCATATGTAAAAAATAAAGTGTTTTAAAAGATTTGTCTATGTGTGTTTTTCTGTTAATATCTCCAGTCTAGACTAGGTTGGTTAATACAACATTTAGTTTTAAGCAAACCATCTAAAATTAGTACTCTTATTGATAACCTTTAACCTATTATGCATCATCACATAAAATAACAACGCAATATTTTTATTGATAATCTTTGACCTTTTAAACGTTATCACATACAACAACAACAACAAGGCATAAAAGTAAACAATATAAAATTAGTACTCTTATTGATAACCTTTAACCTATTATGCATCATCACATGCAATAACAACGCAATATTCTTATTGATAACCTCTAACCTTTTAAACACACAGCAACAACATGGCATTTTCCTAAATTTTAAGGAAATTTCTCGTCTATAGCACCCCAACCTATGTAACTCTTATAACATGGCATATATGCAAACTCCCTAAATCTACTTATTTAGATCTGGCAAAGCAGCATTTACACTACCCTCATGCTTACCCTTAAAAAACTACCCTCACCCACACCCCTAACAATTATATTAAGGCCCTTTTCAACAGCCTCCAGTAAATTTACAAGAACTACCCACACAAACATTATCTCTTTTGAAATGACCTTCAAATTAATCAAGGTCAATACTTCTTCGGCTCACGGATCGATGCTGATGGAAAACATGCCATCGAGCAAAAATTGATCCAGTATCCCGCTAGCTATACTACTAATGTCTTATCTCGTCTCGTCTCGTTTTGTCTCGTTTTTTTTCCGACTTGTTTAATATATCACAATAATGCTTTATATTACCTAAGGGATATTTCCTACAGGATTGAAAAAAAATAATTATGATTTTTTTTGAAAATATCAAATATATATTTTTTTAATTAAACATTTTTTTGTTTAATTTTTATCAATAAAGTATATCAAATTTTTCCTAATCATTATAATAATGCAGTGCGTCTCAACCCTATAACTTTTTTATTTTTTCAGATAAATAAACGGTAAAAAATAAAAAAACACTATATTTGGTATGTTAGTATATGACATAAATTAGGATTGATTGACGTATTCATTTGTTTTCAGTCACTTTCTGTTTCACCGAAAATGACTACAACTTTTGATTTTTAAATGGCACCCCCCGTATATTTTTACTTTATTGGATAGGAAATGACATTCTGAATAGAATGACATATCAGATGTCAATTCTTGACATTTTTGCTTAAAAATAAATTGTATTTTAAATTTCATCTAGAGTGTCATGGCTGTGTTAAAAACAATATATTTTAATCAAGGAGCCTTGGAAAAATAGATTTGATCGCCTAATGTTTTTCGTGTCTTGTCCTGGCCGGTTAAAAGATGTCCAAATCGTTATTTTAATCATATTTCAACTTTTCCAAATGAATCCAGGGTGGCTCATTAGCATATTTGGGAAAATCATTTTTTTACGAATAATTTGATACCACACACTTGGTGTTTCGTCAATAAATCATATGCGAGAAATGTCAAAATTTGACATATGATATGTCATTCTATTCAGAGTGTCATTTTCTATCGAATAAACGTATTTAACACCCTAGGTATTGTAAACAAATACCTATGGTGTCATTTAAAAATCAAAACTTGTAGTCATTTCCGGTGAAACAGAAAGTGACCACAAACAATGGAATACCTACGTCATTTTTTTATTTGAATAAATAAAAAAGTTATAAGGGTGAACCACTTTTGAGACGCACCCGGTATACACCTTTAACTTTAAGAAAATTAAAAAAACAATTTTTTTTTCTGCCACCCTATATACGGACATCCCCCCTATACACACTAAAAAAACATTCCCATTTCGATTGTTTGTTTTCGTTTGAAATTTTCAATGACTTTGGAAAAACAATGGAAGTAAAGATTAGCTACATATATTCAGATCGACGTTGGACGTTGGACACTAAGTTGGTTCTAAGTTTTCAAATAAATTATATTTATTTAGTTAGTTTGTAGTTATTTATTCTCCATAAGCATATAACTATTAGAAAACATCACGCAATTTGATATTATATAAATTTTAACCCTCTTATCAGATTTTGTGTTAATGGTTTTCGAGATATCTCGTCCCGTCTCGTCTCGCCTTGTCTCGAAACATTTTATCTCGTCTCGTAATTTGAGATAAAATACTCTCGAGATTGAGAGAAAATACTCTCGCATCTCGCGGCATCTCTAATTTTTAATCATATCTCAATTTTTTCAAATAGAATGAGGATGGTTCGGGGTGGAACGAGTGTTCATTAGCATATTTGGAAAAATAATTTTTTACGAGTAATTTGATACCACACACTTGGTATTTCGAGTCAAATATTCGTTACGAACCGCAAGTTATAATTTTAAATAAACCATATGCGAAAATGTCAAAAGTTGACATATGATATGTCATTCCATTCATAGTTTTATTTTCTATCGAATAAATTAAAAAAATTCCGAGGGTGCCATTTAAAAATCAAAAGTTAAGGCTGTCGCTCACTAGACGGAAGCGCGCCGGAGCGCACGGTAGCGCGGCAAAAAGGAATTTTTAATAATACATAGTTTTAAATCGTTTCGCTGCCGACCGCTGCGTTTCCGCCAAGTGAGCGCGCTCCCATTTAAAACTATGTATTATAAAAATTCCTTTTCGCCGCGCTGCCTTGCGCTCCGTCGCGCTTCCGTCTAGTGAGCGTCAGTCTTTATAGTCATTTCCGGTGAAACAGGAAGTGACCGAAAACAATTGAATACGTCAATCAATCCTAATTTATGTCATATACTAAAATACCAAATCTCGTTTTTTTAACTGAAAAAATAAAAAAGTTATAGGGGTGAGCCACTTTTGAGACGCACCCGGTATAGAAAACACAGAAAGAATCCGATAACTGCCAGCCGTCCAGTGCTCTCCTGTAAAATTAGTAAAATGCTACTTATCATGTTTTTCCCCTAGACCCTTCATTTGTATTTAAAATATAAACAAGTATCAATATTGCATAAAAATGTATGATAATAATTATTACTACAAACCTTAATTTTAATAAACATTTCAGAGATATTAATTCTATGAAAGTTTTGTATTTTTTATTCAACTCTAAAATTAAGCGCAATAAATTTAATGAATGTATCGTAAATATTAATCCTATGTAACTTTTATGTTTATTTTGTAAATATAATATTTGATTTGAACTTCAAAAGTTATTCAACAGATAATTGTATTAAAATTAAATTTACTAAAATATGAAGTTTCCGAGCAAGCTTTTCAAGTTTATTATAATAATAATTTAAGTATATTCCAAACCAGTTTTTTTCCTGTTTATGCTCACGTAATATTTAACTAAAACTCATTAAATCACATAAAAATAACGATAAAAAAATGGCATCACAATGGCTCTGGAAATGCTACTAGACCGACTGATAATTTGAAACGGTATTTTTTCAAACATAGGGTATTATTTGAGCAACACAACAGGCGTTATATGCAGTGGCGGCTTAACCATACGGTAAAATAATGGTCAACGCCCCCCTCCCACCAAAAAAAAATCAGAAGAAAATTAGGAAAACCTATTTAAATTATACTTTTTGTAAATAACTTTTTTTCATCCTAAGATATTCTAAAGTATTCCCGAAAACCATCAATTTGTCCAATTTATGATTCAAAACGTTTTATTTTATCCGTTTTCTCTACTGCCGGTCAAAATTTCATTTTGTCTTTTGTTCCCGCTATGTTTTGCACATATTAAACTCCAAATGCCGCGGCTCGTAACGCCAACAAGGTAAGGTATACTACGTATAGAAAATATAACCGGTTAAGGTGCGATAGATATAGTTTATATTGGCCATTGTCCGCGTGATTCATAAAAGGATTTCAGTCGTTGGAAAAATTTCGGCGTTTGGGTGTTTATAAAAACTCACATCATAAAACAACCTAGGTTTTTGTATCGTTTATCGCGTATAATGTTTGGTTTAGTCAATATAAAGCAATATTTAAATTTTTAATATCCAAAGAAATCCCATCTAGTTTGAGGTGCAGCGCGAAATTTGTGTAGGTAATAATTCATAATTTTCTGGTTATGGATAAATTATGAACTGAGGTTGACTGATTCTGGAATAGATATTTTAAAATAGACAACATGATGTTTAGTTTGTGAAATCGTGCAGTTAAAAGAAAACAATTGCTTAAATTTCGAAAAACGTTTAGAGGAAGAACTTCGCATTGACTTAAAATATAAAAAAATGTGAAATAAAACTTTTAGAATTGTGTATGTGTGTATATGCATTTATATTTTTGTGACATTATTATTTATGTGTATTTTAAATCATACCGTAGAAAATTTGTGTGAAGAACATTGATTTTTAGTGAAATGGCACTAGACCACCTGTTTAAAAATGTAAAGGTAGGTGTCATTTTAACAAAATTTATATTTATTTTTAGATTTATTTTCCTTTAATTAAACGTACAAGTACCTTGTAAGAAACCAATATAATTTGGGCACGTCTTAAAAAAATCGTCGCAATATTTTTGGATATTGACCTCCCTACAATAATGACCACGAGCCGCCACTGGTAATGACGTCACACAAAACGTTTAACTAAGATCAAGCATGCTTGAAACACTAACCGCATAAAGACCCTTTGTAATAGGTTGGTCCAGATTTTAATTATTGCGGTTTCGTATGAGGTATGCGGCCTAGGTAAAGCACAATACCACATCATCAGGTTGCCTGGATTTATAGGTCAACGGGGTCGTCGACCTGTGCAGTAACACAACTCGTTACCCGATAAACTGATTTTGTTAAACACTAGGCAAATAATTAACTGTTATTATAGAGGAATATAGCGGCAAAGGACCTGGCTACGTAATTACGGCGGTTTCCGCTTGATGGCAGATGTTAGATGACGTCAAACAGCCTCCCCGTTTTCCGTCACGTGACAATGTTGGCGTGTTCGCGCGATTAGAACTTTCAATTATCTAATATTATGAAGTGTCAGGGGAAAAAGCAGGTAAGTATTTTTTTTCCCTATATTTAAATATTCGGTTTATTTGGTTCAGAGTTAGTGTAAGCATCTTTCTTCTACTTCTTAGGTCGCCGTCTGTCAGATCATGAAACTACACCTCTAAAATTTCGATAGATGTTAAAGTCGCCGCATATAAAATGGCGCCCAACGTGGGGTCGGATTTATTTTGTATTTAAATTTTTTAATGATATATCTCGAATATACTTTTTGCATTGTGGAATTTATTAATGCCCACATTAAAAAAACATATTTTTCTGTCAATTTGTTCCAATATCGCCAGCCGTTTTGCAGATAAATCCGTTTGCAGATATAACTCTTTGCCGGCCTACGGCGTATTTTGATTGCATTGGTAAGTCTCTAGAGTAAGTTTTTTTGTTTAGATTGCACGCGAAATACCCGAGCCAGTGTTGCCAGAAATTTTCGAGGGAATTTCTTCAACGGAGCCTTAAAAACCTTCTTATTCCTTCAACACCACAAAAAAATCCAGATCTTGTGAAAAATCACCAAATTTCCTGTATTTTACCTATTTTATAATTAGACGAAATTTGATTTTGATTTTTTTTTGAAATTGATTTTTTTATTAAAAAAATAACACGATCCAAAATGCTGTGATAGATGCTCGACAGCAGTGTTATAAAGTATGTTTCAAAAAATTCATTGCTTACAATGACTGCTTGAATCGTGCAAGACGCCAGCTGACTTATTAGATATTATTACCTATTTATTTCTTTTCAACATCAAGAACCTTGGTTTAGTTATGGTATGTGTGTAATAAGACGGGTTGAAAAATGTATCTATTTTTGTGTCATCAGCGTTCAAAAAGGGTTAGGTTAGGTTAGATGAACCTTTTTACTTTCCATTTTTGTGACCACTTTTTCCCACAAAGTCCCATAAAAGAAATTTCTCCTCATCTCTACACTCCATAGGCTAGATACAAGTCTTTTTTCTGTCATCGTTTGTCGAAACCTTACCAAGCTACACGCACAATGGTGCGATCAGGCCGCGATCACGATCACGATCAGGGCAGCGATAACATGAGCGATCATTCTAGCACACACCAACGCGTTCACGTTCACTGCCGTACCTATATGTAGTGCGCCATCCTGTAGGTATACATAGGTACAAATTAAAAATGTGAATTATATATACCGAAAAAAAAACATTCTTAAATATTTACCTACAATATTTAAACTTAAACAATAAAAATGTATACATATGTACTATCCAATCCAATTGCAACTCTAATTTTGTCTCAAACTTTTTATTTTTAATTCTATTATTTTTGTGACTTGGATCGGATATATCATATAGAATTTTGTGTACTTTTACAGCCTTAATTAGCTGCTCTGTTAACTCCATTTCTAAATTGTAACAAGAAAAAACACACAAAATAACGGAAAATTCCTATCAGTTGGGTCGCGATCAAACTCGACAAGTTGAATCTGATCGCCACCGCAGAATAGAAAGCCGGCCGCCAGGCCGCTTCGTCTTCCAAACTCGATCGCGCCAATGTGAAACGGCTCGTATTATGTATTCTTCAGCTTCTTTGGCCGCGGCCGCGTGGTGATCGTGATCGCGGCCGTGATCGCACTAGTGTACGTACAGTACATCTGTCCGTTCTAAAGCTACGGGGTATCCGTGAGAGGGGAAACGATATTCTCTCGATGTTTTTCGTAAAAAATTAGACGCCGCGTCTCATCAATAAAAATTCGACAAATTTGCAAGTAGCCAATAAAAAGAGTGGGCGGAGCGGTTTGCGGTGACGTACTCGTCAAGTCGACTATAATATATGATGATAAACTGATAAACAGAAAGATGGGTTACCGATGGATTCCCCAATTTCACCGTTATTCGCAGAAATATTTATGGCAGATTTTGAAAAGAAGCTATTTAAAAATAAGAGTAGTTTAATATCAAAAATAAATTATTGGGCAAGATATGTAGATGACATTTTTTGTATTTGGTCAGGCACCGAGAGAAATTTAAACAGTTTTTTAACATTATTAGGTTTGAGTCATCATATTTTCAGTCAGCTGCTGAGAGAGCTGTACATAGAGATTTCATTAATCAAGATCACTCAATTGTCGGTATTTCTTGTTATTTTTCTTTGTAACAAAAGCAGTTCGATAGGAAACAAATTTAAACCAATTTCATTATTTACCAAGAGTAGCGTCATATAAAATACCATTAGCGAGGACCAATTTAAAACCTTTTAAATTTTTAATGCTATCGATATTAGTCACTGGAATGGAAGAGGACCGTTTCTTACGTTTTTATTGGTCCGTTTAGCAGTGCCCGTTTCGTAAATTAAATTTAGAAAAAAAGTGAGACAAAACAACACAATTGCTTCTCTGCAATGGCGCAGTGAACGATTTTAACGCTCCATTATTTCATTACATTTTTTACGAGTTTTATCAGGTATATGGCATAGGATTGTTTTTACTTACAGTTTATTCTAAAGACAAAACAATTATCGACTTTTAAACTACATTCCTAATTTAACTAACAAAATATCAAATAATCTGAATAAAATAGGATGTAAAACTATTAATGTAAATAAAAGAAATTTAGGTCAAATTTTATTAAATAATAAAGACAAAACTAATGTCAAAAATAAGTCGGGTGTATATAGGGTGGATTGCAATGATTGTGATGCCGTGTACATAGGCCAAACAGGTAGAAATTTAGATATAAGGATTAAAGAACATATAAAGTCTATTAATAATCTCCAGCATAGTTCTGGTCTTGCAACTCATTGTATAGTAAATAATCACAAAATTAATGAAAACTCAATTAAGTTACTACACAGAGAAACAAAAGGTAGACGCTTAAATTACATTGAACAGTTAGAAATACTAAAATCTGTTAAAAACGAAAATAATGTTAACGACCAACAAGGATTTCTAAACACATTTTTTATTACCCCTATTGTAAACTCTCTGAACCCACCCCCATAGCAAATATATATATATAGTTACACTGTAGTTAGACGATTAGTTCTTAAAAAACTCTTGAAAAAGACCTAACAAGCCGAAACATATATGTAGAGTTAAAGTTACTCTTATTAAAAGTTTTTTGAAACATCTAAAAGCGTGCTTTATTAAAATACTAATAAAATATATTGTTGTTTATTTAAATGTGTTTTGTCCGCATTCCTTTCATAGACACAGATCCAGCAGACGTACAGTACAGCTTAAAAACAGAATATATATGTAGGTACCTATGATATAGTAATATAAACATGCATACCTCTGAAAGGTGATATTGCGCGGACTGGCCGGTACCGGCGAGTTGCAGGAACTACCCGAGCCGCCGGTCAAAGAGGCCAGGCTGGACTGAGACGGCGACGGCGTCCTTAGTTCCGGTCCGGTGACGTGGCCGATTCCGGGAGACGACGACCGGATGTCCAGGGAGGCGGTGCGATGCGGCGAGGGGGAACGGCTGGACGGGCGGGGGAGAGGGTAGCTGACGGTGTGGGTGGCCTCGTTGTGGTACTGGACCTGCGCCTTGCCGTCGGGTGCGAACGTGCGAATTTGGGGGGAAGAACCCCGGTGACTGCCCTGGAAAAAATGTTATGTTTAGTATAATATTAAATAAAAATACCAAATATATTATAAAAATATATGCTAGTACCGCATTTACACAATGAGTGGAAAGTGCAGCCAAAGAAAAGAAATAGGAATATCAATCTTGCATAAGTCTATCCTTTTGGTTCAACAGGATTTTCGCACGCATGCGCCAAAAAAAAACTGTCTGATTCGTCTACTTCATCGCTGAACGCTGCCACCGGCTGCATTTGACCGCTCACTATTTTAAACTCTAATATACAGGGTGTCCCAGAAATAAGTGCAAATATTTTAACTGGTAGTATAGTTCAACTCCAGAAACACGCCTATGAGGGTTTTTTCGCGAAAAAAATTTTTTGAAAATTTTTTTGTAATTTTTTTTAGTTTTTAGTTAAAAAAAACATAATTTCTTGATAATATGGCAACATAGGTATTAGATTAAATTTACAAGAAAGAAAATCCAGAAAAGATCTAGTGGTTCTCAAAATTTTACCAAATTTTTTTTTTTTTGGAAATTTTCAAGGTAAAATAACTCCGTTATTTTGGACTTATTTGAAAAACGATAAAGAGAAAATATGTTTCTTTTATCGAGATCTACCACCCCTTAAAATACTTGCACTTATTTCTGGGACAACCTGTATAATATATATTTTTTTTCTCGTAATTGAATTATTTCAATCTGTTACTTTAGATATTCTTGAAATATAGATATAATATCCCTTTCTTGCTTTTGTTTAAATATTTCAAAGACTAAATTTAAATCTACAAGTAAAGGCGCGAACAGTAAGACACTAACTTGATTGACGTAGTAGATAGAAACTCTGAAAGCTACTTCTATTGGTTAATATAAAATAAATGAACTAATCGCGAAGCATTTTTCACGCTTGCGTAGTTCAAAGCTGTTGAATGAAAAGGACCGACTTGGATTTTGTATAGCTCCATCTCAAATATTTGGCTTCAATTTCTGTTCCTTACTAGCAATATATTCTTATAATATAATTTGAAAAACACTAATAACGTCAATGCTAAATATTTTTTGTTATACCGGGTGTTTTTCAAAATTGGCTCACCACTATATATTTTTATTTTTGCAAACAAAAATCGAGCGTTAGTATATACAGTATGTCCCCGGATTGTGTTTGCAAGAGGAAATACTTTTTTATTATTGACATTTTGAGAAAAATGCATTCTTCATAAAAGTTTTTGCTGGTTGTAAAATGGTTTAATCTCGTTTATATTCTCCAAATTTCCATACCGTTTTAGAGAAAATTAGAAAAAACATGAAAATCTGATTGAATTTTTTTCTTTTGTGGTTGAAGTCCTAAAAATAAAAAAGCGCTTCTATGGTAATATAATTTCGAATTCATTCTTTGATAGATGGTTATTATTAATTTTAATTAACGTCATATTTTTTGCTGTTGTATCACATTTTCCGATAACTACTATCACCTTTCCATAGCATTGAACTAAATTTTTTTGCTTCTTTAACATTTTAAAATAGCAAATGAAGTCAGTGGCGTAACTACCGATGTGTCGTGTGTGCGAAGCACACGGGCCCGGGACCTCGGGGGGCCCGAGCCGTATACCTATATCTATCACATGCTATCGCAAATCAAGCAGAATCGGGCGATCCCGAACTACATAAGTTCTTATCTATCACATGTCTTCTTAACTACTTAACTAGAACACGCTATCGCGAAAATAACTTATTACGTTACACTTGTTCTTGTGCAATTTTGTAGCTGTGCTTTCCTTTTTATTTTGCAAAATAAAAATAACTGGAAATATGTGATTTTTCATTAGAGCATTAAATTTGACAAAAAAGGAAATTTGCTGTATTGTCACTGGATTTCTGTACCATCGAATAGAAACGGAACTAAGCTAGTTGTAGCATCAAAAAGAGCATGAAAAATTGTACTGGCCAAACTAGTTAACTCAAAATCACAAAAACTCTAGTTACCTAATGGTTGTATTAAGGGGACGATAAGGCAGCTGAGTTACGAGAGGTGCCCGAAACTGCCACTTTTTTGGCAATTATTTCAATAGAAAACGAAGTTACTCGTACAATAGACATTGGTAATATTGTGTCAACTTTCGCCCATGCTAAAGCAAAGAAAAAAGGATTTTAACATGTTCATGTTCCTATTTACATTGTTTATTTTAATTTAGTTAGTTTTGTTGTTGTTTTTATTTATTTTGTTATTTATTTGATATTTTATATGTTTTGGATTACATATTATTCTGTGTTGCAGTAAGTAATAAATAATACTATATAAAAATTAATTTGATAATGTTATTTCTAACCTAAAATATGAGTGCATATTATTCAGATTAGTATTGAAATATGTAGCTGTAATAGGGGGCCCGGTAAAATTTTTGCACACAGGCCCGTGAGTCTGTTGTTACGCCACTGTATGAAGTTAATTAAAACTCTATCAACAACAATCTAACAAATAATGAAATTCAAATTATATTACCATAGAAACGCGGATTTGATTGATTTTTAGGATTATATTTGCAGGTTTCTTTCTAGTTTTCTCTAAAACGATATGGAAATTTGGAAAAATATAACCGAGATTAGCCATTTTAGAACAAGCAGAATTTTTTTTATGGAGAATACTTTTTCTCCAAATGTCAATAATATTTTTTTTTCTTTTGTAAAGACAATCCGGGGACATACTGTATGTTAGTATATGACATAAACCAGGATTGATTGACTATTCTAGTATTCCAGTATTCTATTATTTTCGATCACTTCCTGTTTCACCGGAAATGACTAGAAGGAACATAAAGATTACACCCCTTTCCCGTTCAAAATATTCTAATAAAGTTGCGATGAGTTTTTTACGACTATTAAACTATCTTGTACACTTCGCCCTAAAAGATGTTCTAAAAAGAACAATGTTGGACTCCCAGGGCTGCTGCAGGGCTAAACATTTTTAAGCTTAAAGTTTCACAACACTATTTATTTAACCTAAAAACTCGTAATATAAAACTAAAATGTCAAAACGAATGACAATGTCAGGAAATAAATAAATAAATGTGGCAAATTGACCTTTTTACAGCAGAGCTACCATCTGAATCCCCAGCGGGAAATTTAAATTCCAGTTAGTCAGCACGGCGCCGAATATGTCCATGGTTGGCAATAATGAATTTAAAAATCGCGCCCTTGATTACGTAACTAAAAGTTTAATTGATATCAAATATAGTTTATATAGTAAACGCCACGAATGTTTGGGAGTGATTCGTCGCTTGATGAAGTTAGAATCGACACGCGCGCTATCATTTTTACATTGAAAACGTAAATTTTTACCGCAGACGTAGGTTTTTAATGGCCCGGTCTAATCATCTGCCTGCGCTCCTCCTACTTATTCTAAAATGTTAGCGTGATTGACAAAGACGATACTATATCGCGTTTCTTTGATTGATTCGTTTTTGTGCAGTCAGTCCATTGGTGTGCTTGCAGTGCGATCAATGGGACATTCCATTTCATATTTATAACCAAATATATGTTTTGACAAGACTTTGACAGTTAAAACAACAAATTAAAACAGATTATATGTTGATTATTATATGACTTGAAACACCACGGCACTGGAATTAAGTATTATGTGACCTTGAACAGATTAGTTCACATGGTAGCGACCGATGAATCACTCCCAAACATTCGTGGCGTTTACTATAATTATGTTGATAATTAGTTTTAGTATTGAAATTATAATGAATACGCTCCAAAAGACTAGGTATCCAAAATGTCGTAGTTTGTGTGTGGTGTATAGGCAGCAAATAGAGAACTACGAAGTTCGACATATCTGAATCCTCAGAAAATACATTTGTGTCCACTACCTACGCATTTTCTTCAACCAAAACGATACAATACACCGATATTGGCTGCCGAAATCGAGAAAAACAATGCTGATTGTTACTATTTCAGACACAGATTGGTAGCCCAATCTATCTTCTCGTTGCCATAGAGACGTTCAATTATTAGTTAAATGTCAAGCATATTTCGCGCATTTCTCGTTACAAATATCGGACATTAAATTCATCACGCCGATTTTTGATAACGGAAACGGTGGTGAAACCGTAAACAAAATAATTGATGCGGCAAATGTTTCATTATTAAATTCGTAACTGTAAATTCGTCAAGGGAATGCAAAATATGTATTGGAAAATGTGTATTTGTACGATTTTGAAATAAAAAAAGTTATCTTCATAAAATATTTTGTAGTTGTTTGTTTATTAAACAATCAATAAGGTTTTTTTAAGTAAGAAGGGATATATCAAGAAACTTAAGCAGCCCCGGATCTACAATTTTTTTGAACCGGGGCAAAAAATTGATAGTAGCGCCCCCTTTCTCCAGCGTTTGCATTAAATTAATTTAAAACACTTTCAAATATCTAGATATAGGTAGGCATTTTTCGTAAACGGGACAGAATGAACCCTTAAGCTTCATTCAGAACATCCGAATTAGTGGAATAAATTAGTGGTTTTAATTAGCGTAGAAGTTTGTTTCTGTAATTTCAATGTGAGCATTCAGAACGTCTAAATTAGTGGTAGTCATTTTCAATTAGTAGAAAAAGTAAACAAACTTTTGACTTTTTCACTAATTATACTTCAAATTTTGCGGGAAATGTCATTTTGGCCATCGATCCGTCAAGAGAAATCGTGGTCAGAAATCAAAAGTTTATTGTTTTATAAGCTAAATATTTGGCTTTCTTTATGGATACAACTGAATACCGCAAGCTGTTGCTAGGATATTCTATTAATTTTAATTGTGTTTTTTAAACATTGTGAATGACCTTAAATTAAAAAGAAGAAAAATAATTATTGAAACCGCTAATTTATTCCATTAATTGCGAGATTCTGAATGAAACTTTAGAATGTGTTCAAAAACTAACTGAGCGTTTTAAAATTAAATGAATACTTGATAGAAGAACGTAAAGTGCATACTAGGCGCTTTGTGTAGCAATTTTTTTGATTTTCAACCTTAT